TAGAAAAACTGAAACTAAAATACGGAATTTATAGAGGTGCAGGGTAAGGGTCTGAACCCATAAATCATTAGTGCACCGCGTCTGATGGACCTGATTTTGTTTCGACAATAAACGAGCGAGATGTTTGCCTTTACATTCACCTTTTCCTACATCGAAAACATATCCATTACAATTCATGGATGGGGAGAATTTAACCTTTGATATCTAATTGCACAACTATTTAAGAAAACATGAACGTTAAGATTCCATTGTTTACAACTCGTAATTGTTGAATTTTTAACATTAAGGAAATTCCCTTATCCATTATTCAACTATCGCACAATACATTCATTAGAAAATGCTGTAAAATAATACGTTATCGATCGGACTTGGGTTTCTTTGACATTATAAAAAATTGTTTAAAGAGAACAGGTGCAAAAAGTAAAACAAGTCAAAGAGGTTACAAGAAGTAGATTTTAATGATTGCTTACTATATTAGAAGTAAAGCAAATCACCTTCAGTTGAATCCTTGGTCTTATCAATGCATAATTAGAGGTGATGTACTGGCTACTAGTCCTTGTTCTCACATATTATAAATGTCAAACTCTCAATCTGTACTATTTATAAGTCAGTGGTACTATAGTTCTTGTTCTCATATATTTTAAATGACAAACTCTCAATTTGTGTATTTATAAGTCGGTGATATTTGTGAACAAACAATGCACACTCTTGTAAATAACAAATCCCACAAAGTAATCAAATCATTTTTCTTTTTATAGTTTAAACAATCTAAGATTTATGGGTACACAGATCGGACGCTAGGTTAAGTTCGTGGGAATCCAGTAATACGATACGCAAGGTCTTGACCTTTTGCGATTCAAGTGCTCTTTTGAATTGGATGTCATTAATTTTAATCAAGCAGAAACAGCCACCCTCATGATCCTCTATGCATAATGCCACACATTAGCAAATTACGTATACCGTTAAACAATTATTGACAATTTACTTCAAACATATTAGATTGAAGTATTTGTTTCAGTTGATATTTTCTCTTTCTCCCTCACTCTCCTTTTTATTTAATAATTTCGTTTTTCTTTTTTAATAATTTCGTTTTTCTTTATATAATAATTTCGTTTTTCTTTTTTTAATAATTTCGTTTTTCTTCATATAATAATTTCGTTTTTCATTATATATTAATTTCGTTTTTCTTTATTTAATAATTTCGTTTTTCTTTATATATTAATTTCGTTTTTCTTTATATATTTTTGGTTTGCACTATTGGGCTTCCGTAGATTTGCGGATAAGAGATGGGTACCCCAAAGCGTAACAGATAGACGAACGGACATAACGATTACTATATAACCTCCCACTTTTCAGGCGGGGGATATAATAAACGTGAACTATACATCACAGGAATGGGAACACTGGGAACTTTCTCGAATACCTTCTCAAACGTATGTGTCGAACTTGGACAACAGACAAAAGAATTTTTAAAAAGCTAGTTTTAGGTAGAATGTGGAATTCTCACGAGGAGTTTACTCTCTCTTCCTATATGCTTTTTCTAGTAATCATGAATTATTTATGTCTAGAAATTTAATTCACATTAAATTCTATTTTCGTTATCATTTTACCAAAGAATCAAACTCGTTTATTATACCACACGCGTGAGGTATGATGTTTTTGACCCGTCAGTCAGTCTTTTTTTTTTTTTTTTTTTTTTTTTTTTTTTTTTTTTTTTTTTTTTTTTTTTTTGGTCAGCGCAACTTCTCATAAACCACTGTACAGAGTTTTGTCAAACTTTGCAGATATTTATAGGAGGCAATGTGTGTGTAGATTTGCACATCACCAGAAAATTCCGAATTCTTTATTTTTCGGACTTTTACATTTAGATTTTGGCCATATCTTGAATATAGAGGTGAGCAGTTTGTCAGCGCAACTCCTCATAAACCGCTGCACACAATTTCGTCAAACTTTGCAGATATTTAGGACACAATGTGTATAGATGTGCATATTACAAGGAAATTACGATTCCTTTATTTTTTTCTGGGAATTTCAGCATTTCGACTTTTGGGGGAGCGTGGAGTATATGAAAGTGCTCACTTTTTCTTTCATAGTGCATAAAATTATAAATAACTTTAAATCAAATTATATTAGGTCTAATAAAGCCAATACACAGTATTTATTTGGTAATAATTGATCATAAATAAATCCAATGTGTTTCAGACGTTTTTCTTACATTATTTTTATGAAAGTGTTATGCATGTTTTATTACACCCCCCCCCCCCCCCCCCATATCACGGGAAAATATCTTCAAAAGGTGAATGATTCGTAATAATGCCTGTTTTTTTTAATGAATTTGATTAAACCATGTACTTAATCGTAAATTTTATTTACAACATGTACAGACAAGAGTAATGATTATTTTTGAAAAAATTACTTGCATTTTTTTTCAATCAACCCCACTGAGCTTTCAACCTTTGGTATTTTCCCTGACCAAATAAAATGATCGGCATGGGCCACGTGTGTCCAAGCATCTTTTATGTTGAGTTAGCAATGGATTACATGACTTCTGAGATGCATTTTTCAATAAAAGTAAAATAGGATCATTCTTTCGACATGTGCACATCCCTGTAACGATAGCAGTAGTCAGGTAAATGTTTTTATCACTGCGTTTGACGCGTTTTCTCGACCTGCATGGGTGTTTGGTGTACATGTATGTATTCCGTGTTAGTTTATTTTCTATATTGCAGCAAATGCATTCAAAAATAATTTAATTCTCGGTATAGTTCTATTTTTGTTGAATTTTTACTTTTCAAACATGTATTTGGTCAGTTTATGGACTTCTAAAAACTTTGTTATCGGAGATGTGTACATGTCGACAGTCAGGCTAGAAAATCACTCAAGTGAAGCAATCGTACAAGGCTATATATAGCAGGTACAGGTGACCAAAAATTTGCAATTAAATATGGCGGAATCGAAGAAATATGGCGGACAAAGGCGTACAGGAATGTGGTAAGTCATACAAAGATGAAAAATGATGGCTTTTTAAGAGTTCATGTCAGCTTTAAACATCTTATCGAATGGATTACAGTCTAAAGTTTATAACAAAATCGTCCATGCAGTTTCTGGTATGAGAATGCAGATATTGGGATAAAACGCAATCACGTATAATTATTCTCTTTTCTCCACGTTTTAGGCTAACACCTTTCCTAATATGCACATTTAAAAGTCTACAAAGCCTAGAAACCCGACGGTCATGAAGCCCGTGATATTTTGAAACTATATGTAGTCCATACCATAAACACTTGTGTGAGGTGGCTCAATACACATGGAAATTAAGCATCATCGATGAAAATCGGACGGCTAAGCAAAATTATATTTACCAACATATATATACATGTAATATATTCTGGTAAATGTTATAATTGAACTTGATGAGAACTTGCTGATGTAATTTATTCCTCCGTAAACGATTGCATTGTTTCATGCATTTTTTTCTGTACCTAGATGTCAAGTTGTTCACGATAAACATGTGGGGAATGTACTTGTAAAGATTTTCTGTTAAAAAAAATCCTTTTTAGGAAAAAAAAAAACAAAAGCACGTGTTATCTTTTTGTTATTTAAAATATGTTTTGAAGTGTGTAAAATTGCTGTTGTCTGATTGGAAAGAAAAATAATTACGTGTACATGATTTTTAGCTCACCTGAGCCGAAGGCTCAAGTGAGATTTTCTGATCACATTTTGTCCGGCGTCCCTCTGTCTAGCTGTCTGTCTGTCCGTCTAGCTGTCCTTCCGTTACCCTATGGTGTGCCCATTTCTTATCCACAACTCCTCTTTTACCACTGAATGAAATTTAATGAGACTTTCATAGAATCTAATATTCGTTGTTATATAGTGCCATTGTGCACCCATTTTCCTTTTCTGATCAGACACATTATTTTGGGTTTCCAAGAGCAAAACATGAGCACGGCCATTTTTTATATAATTTTAAGGGTATCCACCTCTCATCCACAACTCCCACTATACCAATGGAAAAAAAAATAATGATACATTCATTTAGATTCTTTATCACATAATGCCATTGTGCACCTCCTATTTTACATTTTGATCTGACACTTATTTCGGGTGTTCAAGTGCAAAATATGGACTTTGCCTTTATAACCATATGGGAAGCGGTGTGGGGGTATCATTTAGTGAGCTTTTTGCTTATAGTACCGTTAGTTTATAACAAGAACAATCTATTTCTCAGAAATGACATAATCGTGGAAGTAGGATGGTTTGATAAGGATATCCTTTCCCAGAAAGAGCATGGTGACCACCACAAACCCTCACCTCTCCCTTAGGAACGTCATTTATCCAATACGGATATAGAATTTGGGCCTTCTTTTTTTTTTTTATCATATCTGATATTTTACGGATTTGATAATAGATTGTTTTTAAGATATTCAGCTATTTTTCTAGCTATAACTTGGCGATCTTTCATAGCAAATTGCTCAACTAAGGACATATCTATTCTCCAGCTTGTTTTCACTGGGCAACGGAACAAATGTCATTTTTAACCATTCCTCTCTTGTCACTTAATCAGCCAATCCAATGAATGATTAAAGTTCTGGGAAGTCTTTTGTCTCTATTGACCTGGAACAAATCATTATATGCTGCTGCGAAGGAATTTCCAAGTTATACATTGAACTTAACAGCCTTGGCTGCTCGAGTAAGACTGTGACAAGTCTGACAACCATTTTTATCACAAATCACCAGCATACTGACGTCATTTTTACAATGTGACGCCACAAGTAAATTAATCATTACTTATCATGTGCTGTTTGTATATAGAACATGAGTATGACTATATATGTGCAAAATTTCATTCTAATCTGAATTGTGGTTTTGCTTATATAGAGATAGTTCGCGTGCTTTTTGATCACCCCTTGTAAATGTTTTAAATCAATTTCCTTGGGGATTATCCAAGGCGCAACAATTTAGTTTGGTAGGCAAGGACATGTTCAATAAATAAATAGGGTACGCCGATGACCGTTATCGGTTCTAAATTTTACGTCGCTATAGGGCATCAGTTAAACGCTTTTCCGTCACACAGACGCTTAAAGAATAGAAATGGAAAGCGAAATGTATCTCAAGCTAAGTGTTCCCCAACTGAAAGAAGAGTTACGAAAGAGAGAAGCAACAACAAGAGGAAGAAAGGCTGATTTAATTGAAAGGTACGTTTTTATTTTAGTTATAACATAGTTATTTTCCATAGAAGTTTCAAAAAAATCTTTCAAATGTGTTGCTGGGCAGACGACGCGACTTTTGTTGCCATGAAACATCGACCTTATACATCTTTCTTTACACTTAAATCTAATACATATGTATATTTATGCATTATGTGATGTTGATTATAAAATCTCTACTGATTTGCACTGTTATTTTTGTAACACTAATCGTTCCTGAGTCCCTTCGGAATGTATATGTACATATATGTACATGTTATGTATTATTGACGTGATATAGATAGCTTTAGCCCTATATGTACCAGGTCTTGATTATTCTAAACTATTATGAATATTTCTGTAGGTTGAGGGCATATGACCGAAACAAAGATTTTAAAAATGAACCAATTCTCATTCCTGAGCCATTAGATGTAGACTGGCCTACAAGGGGATTCCAACAGCTGCAGGATGATCATAGAAAAGACATTCCAGAAATGTGTATTGAACAAATCGACATGTATTTTGTGCATAGATTAGCAGGTTTGTTTTTACAAATATTTTGACATTTTAATAATTTACTTTAAACTTATATAAATTTTTCTAGCTGCAGAGAGCACTGCCACCCACTGAAAAAACTGTATAATGTGTTTCAATGATTAATTTTTCCAAATTCATACCTCAATTGCAACAAAAAATTTCTATCTCCTCTATCAAGTTCTCTCGTAGTTGACATCTGTATTTTATCTTTGAAACCAAAATGGCATATAAATATGTATGATTGGAATATCAGGGCCAGGAGGACTATTAACAACTATTATGAGAAATGTTTTGTTGTGAAAAGAGTCAAAGAATATGTTAGGAACACACGGTTAGTAATAGTTTGAGATTACAGCTTTAAAAACATGGAGAAATAAATCGAGAACAGGTTTTTTTTGTGCGCAATTATACAGTTTTTTCAATTTGTAGCTCTCCGGTCTATCAATATATATTTTTTTAAACTTATATAAATTTTTCATGATGCATTACAAGTTTGGTCATTGCTTCTTTATTTATATATACATGTATTATGAGCTATCTTGTACAATATCAATAGGTGATAAACAAAGCACAGGGGATGTGAAGGCCATAGAAAAAGGAAGACTGCTCCTTGACAGTGATAGGATTCTGGCGGCTTCATATCTGAAGCAGGGCAATGCATTATTTTTCACAGGCATTGTTGGAGCAGCTATGAAAACAAGAGTAAGTTTCATACAATGATACACAAACTAAATTTAAGTTTAAAAATTGGGTTTTTTATGTATTATTATATAGAATAGAAATTTGTTTACTTTTAAGTTGATTTTTGTCAAATTTATTGCAGGTAACGTATAACTTTAAAATGAAGTTGGATAAATCTTCGGGGGACCTGATGAATAGTCACTGTGAATGTCCTGCAGGACGAGGACCACATGGCACCTGCAAGCACCTTGGTGCAGTTGCACTGATGTTATTGTATTTTAGTGAAGGAAAGGGCCTTTGGGTCAAGAGGTCCTGCACAGAAAATCTACAAACATTTCACAAGCCTAAACATTCATACTCAGGTAAAAACTATGAATAAAGATTGCTTTTACAAAGCAAGTTAGTTTAAGCCTCTAATTATATCACCAAAGTCCCCCACTTTGAAAGTCAAGTTGATCGTGAAATTCATGTGCTCTTTAGTGTTCTTCAGTCAAGTACATACAAGGTGTTCCATATGCATATATCATAAATTAACATTAAAGAAGCAATTAAACAATTATATGCAGTTTCAAATTACAAAAGGCTTTAATCAATCAGTTGCAAGGAAATATACTACATACTTGTATCACACCTCACTCATATAATATATTCATAAATTTTTATTGAATAACCATAATAATTTTCATATTTTAGTGTTTTCTGAACAATCATAATTTTCCCATTTAGGATCACCCGTGAAAGCTGAAAATCTCTCCAGAAAGCGTAGATTGAATGACGATTTCTTTGATGATCCACGTCCTGAACATTTAAGAAACAAGGCTGGATACCCTGACAGAGTCAGAAATATGGTCATCAACTACTGTTCTAAGACCTCAGAGAATCTAACATTCAGATATCTCATCGAGCGAGCAGATATTAAGGTAAATCATTCACTTGGTTCCACATTAAATATAATATATTTAATATGTATTTTGAAGCATTGCAAATTAATGAAAATTAAACTGTACATTGATGATTTTTAGCTTTTCTCTTTTTAATATTAGTAATTTTTTTAATAGACAGCAGTGCTTGACCATGACTACTTAGAAAGACCTTTCACAGAATACTGGGTAGAACAAGCTGTTGATGTAAGTATTTTTCTCTATCAAAAATTTCAGTTCAAAGTCATAAAATTGCAGCTGACCAGAAACACTATTTTATCATCAATCTAACAAATATAAAATGATTATACTATTTTAGTCACTAGTTCAATGTACACAATATTAGATTTAAAAAAGTGAGCCATAACTATGAGGGCATCTATGAAATCTGTCAAATGAACTTCAGTGAAATAAATCTCATACATGTTACTAAAGTGTTTTCCTTTGTAAGTTCCCTAGTCAGGTAAGATACATTACATTCTAGGTTAAGAAAATAACATGTAAATACTTATTTTGTACTATTAGGTAACCGCAGATGAAATTGTTGCAATTGAGGAGAGGACTCGTGGACAAGCCAGCTCTAAAAACTGGTTTAAGGAAAGGTCATGGCGGATCACGGCATCTCGTTTTGGGGAGATCTGTTTAGCTACAGACAGGAGGAATAAGCAGAAACTCTGTGAATCCATCCACCAGCCATCTGCTGCTCTGCTTCGAAGCGAAGCTCTAATTCATGGTCGTACCTATGAGGCGCGTGCTATAAGGTGTGTAATAGTTTGGGATTTGCCTGGAAATATTTATTAAAGCTTCAGGTTGAAAAGCATTTACCCGTACAATAAAACTGAAGATGGGTAAATTGCTTACAATATTTAATTAATTGGAATTGAGGAGGTTGAACATGTGATATGGGGCTTACCAGTACTTCTACTATCAGCACTTCTCTAGTATAGGATATCAAATAACTGGTTAGGCAGAATGCTAGTTTGTCATTGAATCAAGAAGTTGTAAGTTGAATACATGTACTACCTTCACTTAAACATAAATTATTTTTACACTTTCTCTTGTCAATACAGGAACTTCGAGAAGGAAACGGGAAAAAGTGTAAGAAGATGCGGCCTCTTTGTTGATAAAGATAGATCTTACTTGGGTGCATCACCAGATGGCCTTGTTGGGAACGAAGCACTTATTGAAGTGAAATGCCCCTTTGCAGGTCGCAACGAAAAAATCCAACCTGGGAAGCACTTTCCATTTTTGACAAAGGACTCTGTGACAGGACAATTCAAGTTGAAACCAAATTCCAAGTATTATTTTCAAATACAAGGGCAAATGTTCATTGCAAAGAAGAAATGTTGTTATTTTGTTGTATATACTTTTAAAGATCTGTTCATTCAGAATATTGATTTTGATCTTGAGTATTGTGAAAATTCTCTTTTTCCAAAATTAGAATTGTTCTATGATACATATTTCAAACCATACTTGTCATCCATACTGTGAATTAAATTTACATGTGAAGTACAGTCACTTCTCATCCAAAATTGTCCATTCAATATGCTGATGCAATATGTTAAATTATTTTGTATTGTTGGTAAATATAGGACCAGTTGAAACATTTTAATTGAATATTATAAACAACTTCAGAGAAAAGGGGCAATTTTACTAAGTGTGCTTATGAACAATAACAGATCTGTTGGTCTCCTTTAGAGCTGCATTTTACATAAGTTTATTAATACCGTTACATTATTAATATGAATTAAAAATGTATATGTTAAATTACATAAAGATTTTGAATTTTTTGTACAACTGTATAAATCTTGTACCAATTATTAAACCTTTCTTGTTTTACATTTTACTTGTATTTTGTCACTTCAATGAGAAAAAAAAAATCATAAAGTAATCAGTTTCAATTCTGTATTCAAGCACTTTTGTCAACAATACAATTTCTGAAATTTGCAATTGCAAAACACACATACACAATTCTAGATGCCAAAGGAACCTTTGAAGATGGTAGTTCATACTTGAGAATTTTAAAACATTTCACTAGCCCAATGACCCTTTCTACATGTATACGCTTAGAGGCAATGCGCCTGTCATGAATTACTTCCACTGGATCTAGTTGACTTTTCCCTTTTAAAAAGGTTGGGGTATTTACCTTTACATTTTGTACAGCGAAAAGGTCCTGTACCATTATACCTCGATCAGCCATGATGCTGTTACCACTTTGAAACTTTTCTGGATCTAGTAGAGAGGATCTTTCTATAATTTGGCGATCTGAAGTAGAACCGCCATATGATGAAGAAACAAATGACACAGCACCATTTGGAGTAATACCTACCATTGTTTTAAGAGTATTTTTATGTTTGTAACATGACCAGGTAGCAGATTGAGACTCCAAAACAGATGGCTTCTGTATGGGTTGTTCTGTGGCATCTAAAATAATTCTAGTGTTGGGGAATTTTTTAGAAAAATCTGCAGGCATATGTTGTTTAATTACATCCATAGACACCCAGAAACTATCCTCTAATTCTTTCAACTGGTAATACAGAAAATTTATCCACGTAACAACAAGTTTAGAGACTGTTGATTCTGAAATGCCAAAAAATAGTGAAAGTTCAATGTCCTCCTTTGCCTGCCTTAGTTTCATCAATATCAAAAATAACTGATCTTTAGGATCCAACAAATTACATTTGTAATTCAGTTCATTTACAGCTGGCCCCAAAGAATGAAAAAACAGCTGAAAATGATCAAAATTATTAAATCCAGTATAATATTGTATCATTTTGCTATTGAACTGAAAATGTTGAATGGAATACTTTCCAAAAGTTTCAATAGCACACTGGACTGCCCTCTCAGTAGGGGGGACAGGTTCTGCTTGTGTCCTCTCAGGTTCAAGTAACTGACTCTCACTGGTATCAATGGTAACTTCTTCTTGAACCGTGGACATTTCCATGACACATGGCTCATCGGGGTGTGTGGCAGTTTTCTCCTGATTTTCCATTCTCTGTCTTTTTCTCAAGGATCTTGGTGTATCCACCACCTCACTTAAATATGTTTCTTTATTATTAAAGTCAAAAATGGATGGCACAGCTGTTGGGATCAGCAGGCACCGCTGTCCTATCAAAAACATAAGTAATATTTTAATAAACAATTCCAAAACACACACAATAGAAAAAGAGAGAGAGAAAAAAAATAAAGATTTCGTATGAGATGTCACTTATAAATATACCGCTTTCACCTCTTGATTCTCAATATATTTCATATTCTTTCTTCTTATATGTTAATTGTTGATAAAATTAAAAAAAAAATAAAATACTCACTCTTCCACTGACGTTCTGAAAGGAGAAAAAAGAAACCACAAAGCAACGCAAAGCCAAACAATCAACAAAAACTCTTAATTACATTGATGAACATAAAATCGCAATTCGCAATATTTAAACAACTCTTTGAAGCAATCAAACTTTGTCAATTGATAACTATTAAAATGACCAAACGTTTATTTAAAGCAAAGTAAATAAATCGTGAAACGTACCTGACTCCGTCTTCCTATAATCTGATTCTTTAAAGTGAAAGTGGCAGACCACATCTTCTTTGCCTGGGAACCACAATTTCTTAGTTCTAGGATCGACACGACGGATGGCTATTCTCCATTTCATCAGAAGATCTTTACTTTTTGGAAATCTATGCCCATTAAACCTACCGCAGCCTGGAACAGAGCAGTATCGAACCATTTCCGATTTTCTTTCCTCAGTATTTTCATAAAGCGTCTTCGCGATAGGAGTAAAGCGTCTCGGACGTACCCTATAGCTTGACAGTAAAATTTAGAACCAACTTGATAACGGGCAAAATAATAATTATAGACGTCGGCGAACCCTATTAATGTTACTGTCAACGCCATAGTTGGAAAAAATGGAGTCAAATATGTGAAACATTTCATGGACCATCTAATAGCAACGTATATGTTCAATTTTATCGCAGAGGCTTTACAAAGTCTTACTGACAAGGGTAGGGGAGGGGCTGTCTTTCAACCGGGGAATGTTCTGGTAGCTGACAATGCAGCAAAAAACCACAACAATGCCCCTCTCGTGGCGCAGTGGTAGGAGCGCTTGCTCTTGAGTCGCGGAGTAAGGCCTTGATACTTGCGTCGCTTGCTCGAATATCGGTATAGTATGGGACGTGGAGACGGGTCCTTGGGATGAGACAGCATCAACCGAGGTCGCAGTAGGTGCTATCACGAAAAAGATTCCTCAATGCCCAATAGCCTTGGTTCCGAGCATAGGTCAAAATTTGTCTAAAAGTAACTCGATATTGCATGGTATAATGATAACTGGGAACAAATTTCAACAAAACCTCATATTAAATTGCATGGATTATCTTCTATTAACAGTATAATTATTATTTATCTTATTTTGAATTTCAGATACATCATACAGTGATATTTTTCCGGCGCAACGCTTATGACTCTGGGCTTTTGTTTTTGAAATGTTATATCCAAAAGGACAGTAACAGTAAATAAAAAACGCCCAAAGAAAAACAACACCTGCTTCATTCATTTTTTTAAAAAAATAAATCATGTGTGTAATTCAGGAACAATTTTAGATTTTAAAATAAATAGTATGTTGTTTTACGTCGCATTCGAATTTTCATTCATAAAGAGACGTCACCATATACAGGTGAAGAGCTTCAAATGTTGACCTTTACTCGGCACTCAGGGCCACTGAGCAGTGAGAGATCTTTATCATGCTAGCACCTCCTGCGAAACGGGGCCTCGGTCTTAAAATCCGAAGGACTCGCAACTTTCGATTTCACTTCAAAGTGCCAAGCAGATGGCGAAGGAACAGTTGCTACCATTTTTTTTAATCAAACTTACGTCAGTCTCGGCCGAGATTCGAACTCGGTGACCTTCCGGTCACGAAGCAAACCTTTTATCGATTGAACTACCCTGACGGTGGTTAAAATATTATTGAAATATAGACCATTGCTTGCTTTATAAAAGAGAGGTCCAAGCAAAGAAAACAAACTGTTCGATGTAAAATGAACTTAATTTTCCAATAGATTTTCAAAATTATAAGAAAAATTAAATTATATACCCCATGAGTTTCCATTTTTATATTTGTTCATAATGTGTACTTTGTGACTAATTGTAAAATTTTTATAAAACAAACAAATCATAATGCCGATATTGCATAAATAAGATTTTTATAAAACAAACAAATCATAATGCCGATATTGCATAAATAAGATTGCCATGTTGTGATCTTTCAACGTGTAATATTAAAATAGGTTAATTTTTCTCTAAATGAGCGTAAAAAACTGTTCAAATAATAGAATGTGATATAAAAACATATTATGTTGTTCGTCGGCACTTTCAATGCGATGCTTGACTCCGCCTAAAAAATAAGATAACATTGATGTAGCCATAATTTGTCGCCCGGGAGATAAATTAGATAAGTCTTGATCGTCAAACCGCTGCTAATTCGATGTATTTGCTAAAGACATGCGACTGAATGATGGAGTCGAAAGTCGAGAAGATCGGGAAAGCTCCAGTCGGATGAAAATCGAACATTAACTATACCCTTTTAAATCTTATCAATACATCAAGTAACTGTTTGCAGGATAAAAGTTAATTAAAATCAGACACATGCATCACCTATTTTCAAAATTGTATTTGACTTAATGAATATAAAACACGAAATGTGTAACGTGCGTTTTAATGCGATTAGTTCATCAGCATCAATCAATCATTAATAAAAACTCAGCAATTGCAGTACCCCGGGTAATCCATGGATGGTTACTTAGTAAATTTTTACTACATACACAAAGAAAGATAATTACTTAAGCATTCATATTTCATATTCATATTTTGGGGTGTCTTCGGTCCTATAACACACCCGGCCGTGCCGACAAATTGAATACCCCGATCGAGTTAGCGCGGTATGATAATTTGTCGGCACGGTCAGGTGTGTTAAGGACTGAAGACATCCCAAAATATGAATTCAACGCTTATGTTCACATTCTCTAATTTTTTCTCTTCATAATTGTTTATTTCGTTTATCTTTAATGTGAATTTAGCGCCCTTCAAAACTTGTGTGCTCTATAGACGCAAGAGCCGTTTGTGACATTGCATTAGTCAAGTCAAGTCAAATAACGCAAACGAACATTGCGAGGGAAAAAAGTGACAAACTAATTTTAAACGCACATTTGTTGTATTTTTACGTTAATTAAACAGGGTTAATTTATTTTATTAAATTGTGTAAAAATAATGTACATTTTTGTGTTCCTAAAGTATTGAAATTGCATATAGTTCCTACTGTGTATTCTAACGCGCGGTGACAAGGTTTTGGCGTATGTTATAGAGATCTGAAGTCGTGGATTTCTAATGAATTTCATCAAGACAATTACACTGAATGTAAATATATGTATTTAAATACAAAATGTAGTGTTTACATAATATTAACGTTAGGAGATATAAACAAAGACAGAAAAGGATGTAGTTCGTCGAACCGCACAACGGTTTCGCTACCAAAAGACTACACAATTTGTTTACGTTGCGCACGGTGTCGGTGTCAGTTTCGGTAACGTCAAAATGACGTTATTTTACGTGAAGTTCTAGAAAAATTATTTGACGTTACTTTTTTGCTAACATTTTTTATGGAGGAAAAATAAAAACCCAGTAATGTCACCAATTATATAATTCAGGTAGTTGAAAATACGTGTAATTAAATTCTCTGCACCCTTTTCATGCATATTGCGGGAGGAAAGTATAAGCATGGTTTGCCTCATTAAAAAAAACTTGGTAGAAATAACGAATTTGTTCAACATTGCATTTTAAATTTACATGCTTTATTTTATTGAGATAAATTCAAAGCAATACCACATCATATCAGTAGGCTCTAGAAAAAACTTGGTAGAAATAACGAAACTTGTTCAACATCGCATTTTAAATTTACATGCTTTATTTTATTGAGATAAATTCAAAACAATACCATATCATATCAGTAGGCTCTAGAACCTATCCTTTGTTTTCAGTAAATTGTACGATTGTAGGTATGTTGCTGATTTAGCATTTTTGTAATGAAAATCTGACACATTTGTACTCAACTCCGACAACCCCTAACCCTTATTTAATATTGGACTATTCAATGTAAACTCGCCATGTATAGAACAGTTTATACCAGCATAAAATAGAGTTGACTCACTTTACTGTGAGTTAATTCAAATTTGAAATCATATCCTTAATTGCATAAATTTTGGTTTGTGTGATTTTTTTTTCGTGTCTTAATTCGAACTCTGAATGGTACTTGTGTACAGATTCTGACAAGGATATATACCGATACAGTGTACAAGAATATACTGCACATGTTTTACTTTTATATATAAATCCAACTTTCAAAACATTAAATTATTCTTCTAATTAATCATTATTGGTATGTTTTTCTTTTATCCATATCAGGCTCATCAGCAATTAAGAGTAAGTTTTGCATGGAGAGAAAAAACATTTTGACGCTTTACATAACATTTTATGCATTGAACCAAATAACGTCAAAACGCCAAATTTTTACGTCTGTGACATTTATGTTGACATTTCATTTTTGTTAGGATTTCGTCACCATTCTATTGAAGTTATTTTGGAAAATACCAATAACGTTTTGAAAAGATGCACATTTCATAAAAATCCTTTAATTTTCAATATGTCTATTTTCAATGAGTACAGATATGATCAATGTTACCACATTTATACAATTATAGTTAGATTCATTACTTTTTGGACAATGTGTGACATTTATGTTGACATTTTAAAAAGCCTCTAAAACAAACACTTCTTTATAGGATCAATTCATTTTCATATCTAAATAAAGTTTTGATTTTGCACATTTTGTATTAAACGTTGTTTGGTGCCAAATTAGAAAAATGAATTCTTAAAATGTAGGTCATCGCTGGAGTGTAGCATTAAACGTGACGTTTTTGCCGTCAAATTCAATTGTGACGTATAGCTACTTGTAGTACAAAATATGTAACACGGCAATTATTAAAATTTAAGGCACCGCAAGTTAAACTTCTGTCAAGAGATCTTTTCCTTAATAAAATGGCAACATTTTGTAGAATTTAAAATAATTTTCAACATCAATTTTTCATCCAGCATTACAAAATTTGCTATTTTACGAATCTGAAAAATTTTGCGACATTGAACCTCCAAACTTTGTGACACATCATCTTAGTCAATGTCCCCACAATAAAGCGGCTCAATATCAGAAACCCAAAAATACATATCGACACAAAATATCAGTCTAATTTAAAATTAAGTTCCTTGCACACAAAAAAGATCATTGACATGCCATTTCAAAATTGATTTTGCTCATGGAATTATTTTTTTAAGTTACCGATGACATTTCATGTTCCTTCCATGTTTCTTCGGATAACGCTTATCTACATCACTGTCTTGCATTTTGAACAACGCGTTCACAGCATTCGGATTGAACAACATCATAATTGTAAAACTTTACATTATTTACATCATATTTTGAACTTTTCTGCTAAACTTTATGTTTGTAATGTTTGATTTATGGAAATTATCAACATTTTGTTATTGCGTGTGCGACGCTCCTGTAATACCGGTCTACATGCGTTTTTGACGTAATTGATTAAATAGCCGAATTAATATATTCGATAATTGGAAATTTTTTATCAATATTTTTGTTAAAATGTATTAAGTATACAATTACCGACTGAATGATATAAAGTTTTCATATAGTGAATTGTTTTAAAATTATGGAAATAGTGCAAATGCCGCCGTAATAGTAATTATTGATTTTTTGACACCAACA